GATTAAGTAACAACAGTTCAAGATGATTTTGCTGATTGGTTGAGGTTAAGATCGTCAGAGAGTTGTGTAAGTGTTTGTTAAAGATCTGCTGATGTGTTTGACCAGAAAATTGAGTTCACCATATTTGGATGAAACCATTTACAGTGTCTTGTGTTGCAGTACAACAAAGTGGACCAAGCCTGGGAAAATCTTGAGTGTGTTGTGTCACTGTTTGCTCTTATTTCTGCAGAAATTAAAAAAAAACACAGACAACTTGTCTCCTTCATGTTTCATGTATAGGTGGTGGGACATTGTTGATTATGTTTAACATCACCTACAGAACACTATGGGCTTTGTAGACAAGGTGAGGGATGTCACAATGAAGACAAATGAAACTATAATCTCTTAATGTCACATCACTCTTTACATGCTTACATGTTTGACTCCCATCACCCACTGGAACCAAGTTAGCAATAGGACTCTGTACCACGGGGCAGACAATGTCCCCACAAACCCAGGAGCCAGGGAGAAGGAGAAATCACACACAAGACAGGCCCTAGAGCAGTGTGGTTATCCTAAATGAGCTTTCTTCAATGCAAACAAGAAACCCAAACAGGGCTCCAGTCAACTACTGGGTGAAAATGAAGACCCCCAAACCCAGACCAGTGGTCAACCCATGTGTTGCAGGAGTTTCAGAGAAACCGAGACGTTTATTCTCCAAACATGACATCACAGTGGCTTTCAAACCCCAAAACACTTTACGGCAAAGACTGGTTCACACCAAAGATCTGGTACTCCGGCACAAACAGTGTGTTATTGTGTATGCTGTTGAGTGTCAGGAGGACTGTGACCAGTTGTACAGAAAAACAAAAAACAAAGCTGTTCAAAAGAATGAGCCAACACAGAAGGAAAACATCATCAGTCCAGGACTCTGCAGTTTACACTCATGTACAAGTCAGGTGTGACTCTTTCAGGGATGAAKATGAAGAAAATTGATTCTGTTTAACRTTGATTTTTAATGCACTAYACACACTGTTTTTCATAGGAAAACTTTGCCATGTTTTTTAACCTATTTGCATATTATTTATTTTTTATGATACAACTGTGATTTAGTAGATGTGCAATCTACTTTGAGTGGTATATGTCACAGTCACCTCAAAAAGAATGTACTTTACATGATATGATGAGTTAATATCGCCTCTGTCAGTGTGCCCCAGAGCAGCTGTGGCTACASTTGCAGTTTGCCATCATCAGTGTGTGAATGTGTGTGTCCATGGATGAAYATCTGTAGTGTSAAGCGCTTTGAGTGTCCMGGATGGATAGAAAGGCGCTACATAAGTACAGTCCATTTACCATTTAATACACGCCTTAACACTTACAACACATAATTAWTGTTCTCATTGATCAATCAGAATTTCTGTTACACAACCCAGTCTCTCAGTAGGAAGTTCTGCCCCAGATCTGACATATTGCCCGAAGGAGGGGCTGGATTCAAGAAGAATGTGTTTGTATGGTGCTGTGATCTTTGATTATTGACCAAAATAGTCTGTATTTTGGTCCAGTTGTGCKTAGTGTCTGACTGTATTTCCTGCATTTAGGATTCAAGTCTAATTCTGTATTTATTTCCTGGTTCTCGACTCGCACCAAAGTGACTGCTTATGTTCTCTTTTAAAAATGTTTCTTATCCTTGATAATGAAGAACGTTGGTTTGAGAGAGGAGAAAAGGAATTCATTTTYRTGAAGAAAAACCRTCTGTCATTAAACAACAGTGGAGACCTGTGTGTCCAGTTGTCTCCCTCTTACAATGTTTTTATTGTGAGTATGACTGAGCCCTCTAAACTAAAAACACAATAAAAGATGAAAACATGGACTAGAAAGGGCTGGAAGTAGTGTGAGATTATTCATGTTCATTTATAATTAGAATTTTAATAGTGAAAGGATAACAGGGCAGAGAATACAATTTTCAGATAAATTGTTGATCTAATATGAAAAAATATCCTTATCTGGTGACATTTTAAAGATATCATGAGAAACTTACCAGAATGAGGTCCATAGTCAGCATCCAGCACAGGTGGAAACAGAGTGGAGTGAAGATCAGCATGTCTGTCACTGGTTTTTGATTTAAAAAAATGTAATGATTAAAAAATAAAAAAGGAAAAATCTTTCACTTTTTGGCAAAGAGAGTGCACAGAATCTAACATGAGTCCTCTGGTTTCAGCTCACCTTATATGCAGAGTAGGTGGTGCAACGCAAGACCTGGCACGACTGG